AGGCCGGCTTGGGTGGCAGCAGTCGGCTGGAGGAGCGGCGGGCCTGGGCCTGGCGCGGCGGGATAGAGCGGGCTGGGCGGCGGGTAGAGCGCGGAGGCGGCGGGCGCGGGCTGGAAGAGCATGGGCACCTGCGGGAAGGGCGGGTAGAGCAGGTGCACCGCCTTGGGGTCAGGTGGCGCGTAGGGCGGGGGCTCCTCCACGAAGCCTATCTGGGGGACGCCGCTGGGCGCTGCCTTGGGCCCTGGCCTGGCCTCGCCTATCTCCTGCACTGGGGCTGGGAGCGTCGCCGTCGCGGAGCCGGGTGTGGGGTCCTCGGAGACAGGCTCGCTGCCCTCTGGGGCCGCTGTGGCCCCGTCCTCGCAGGACACTCTGTCCTCATCCAGGGGCTGCGGGCGGCGCGGGAGCGGCGGGAGCGCTGGGTGCTCAGGGTGCTCTGGGCTCCAGGGGTCTTCAGGAGCTGCGAGAGGCTCCGGGGGTACGGGGCTCTGTGGGTTCTCCGCGCCTGCAGGGCTGCCGCCCTCCTTCCTGTGGGGACCTGGGAAGAAAAGGTGGGGCTGTGAGTCCAGAGAGGTCAGTAAGGGCCATGAGCCCCTCCCCGATGGCCCCAGAGACACCACTCTGAGGGTGATGCTGTTCCTCACCTTCCTGTGGACCAAGCGTTCAGGCCCTCCAGCCGGGCGCCAGGCTGCAGGGAGAGCAGTGACAGGACCAGGAAACACTCCGAGAGCTGGAGTGCCTCGCAGGAGATCACACAGCACGAGTCTACCTGGTCCTGGCCTTGGGCCAGACTGTCTCCACTGCGAGAAGTTCCTACCCTATGACCTCTGTCACAGTGGATTGGACTAGAGGAGGAGAATTGGCCCAGGGCAGCCCCTGATTGGCTGTTCTGAAACACAGCTCCTGTCCAGGAAGGGCCTGAGGAGGTGAGCTGAGCCAATCAGATTCTTGGCTTGTTGGCAATTTGCTAGGAGCTGCCAGACCCGGCTTACAACCCTTACCTGGGGGAGCCAGGCCACTGAGGCCTTGAGCCCACCTAGCACGTGGAGGAAACAGCCAGAATGAGGTGGAGGGCCAAGCGAGGACAAGGATGGGGCGTGGGAAGAGAGGCCCGCCCAGAAGTGTGAACCCAGGCTCAGAGCCCTGAAGCTGCCAGCTGCCTTCCCTAACCCAGCCCCCAGCCCCTGGGCCCCGGCCCCCACGCCATGAATTATGGAGGCACCTGAGCCCAGATCGGCAAGTCCTGACAGCCCTGCACCTCCTGACTAGAGCACACGCACTCTATAGCAAAAATCTCTCTCTAAAGAAAGAATTACTATAATAGTCAAGACAGTCCATTATTATTAAAATGGACACAGATTAACGGCACACAGCGACAAATACAGACACAAATGTATTTGTCAAGGGGTTTCTGCCAAATATTCTAAGGCAATTCATGGAGAAAGAAAAATATTTTCAGTATGTAGTGCAGGGGGGCTGGCCTTGTGACCTAGTGGTTAGGGGAGCTGGGTCCCACAGGGCCGAGCACTCTACAGTCCAGTCCTAGCGACCGGGAAATACCCCGGCTTGCGCGTGTGCACCCCAGGCCCTGACAGTCGGTCGGAGAGGTGCGGGAGAGGGGGCTGCAGCCGACCGCACTCCGCTGGCGCTGCTTTCTCCCTCTCCTCTTGCTCAGTTTCCCTTCTCTCTCTGGCAAGTTAAAGGAGGAGGGGAACGAAGAGGTACTCTGCAGCGACAGACAGCAGACACTGGCTGTCCCCCAGGTGGGAGGGGGATTACTGGCACGCACCATGAACCCAGCAAATGCGTCTGAACTGTGCAGCTGGCGGACCTCACTACCTCGTGTAGAACACCTCACAACACGTTTTTAAAAAGTGCTGGTAAATTGGGGCTCGCTCTCTCGCCACTGAGAATCGTTTTTCGCCACCACAGATATATCAGAACTGGTCTGCTGCCAGCCGAGGGCCTGAGGTATCCCAGCTGACAGCCTGCAACCCCAGGCACGCGGGCCCCAGTGACAAGCAGACCCGCAGCTGGCCTGCAAAGCTCTGTGCGGCCATCGTCCCTCTGCAGATGAGGATCAGGAACAGGAATGGTATTTTAAATAACAGCCCACATGGACCAGGCTCTGCTCAGAGAGCTTGGCATAGGTCACCCTCAGGAATGTGACCTGGTTTTACGACCTGCATTGTACAGATAAGGAAAGCGAGGCACCCAGCAGGTACCGGACCATCCTAGGGATGCTATCACAGAATGCCCGTGGGCCCGGTGGAGCCAGGCCAGTTAGACACACACAAACACAGGCTCAGCTCGCTGGGCTCCCCCGGGGCAAATACCTGGGGCGGTGGTGCACATAGGACAGCAGAGCGAATATTAACACAGGGCCTCTGGAGGCTGCCCTGCCCTGGCCTCTGGTCCTTGGTTCTAGGTCCTGGACACCTGAGCCTCCACTGGACGGGGAGGCGGCCAGGGCTGCCACTCAGAAGGCAAAGAGGGGGAGAGTGCTGGAGGGTCTGGGGTGCCTGGAAGGTCAGAGCAGGGTGGGGGCTGCAGCCAAGCCAGGCCCGGCCCTCCTGGGCCAGCACTCCTAGAGCGCCCATCTGCAGGGTGGCTCTCAAGGTCACCAGGGCTGGGGTCACAGGTTCCACTGCCCCGGGGGCTCCCAAGGGCTGGAGTCTGGGTTTCCCCTGCCCCTTCATGCCTGGTTCCAGTGGGGCTGCTGGTTGAGGCCTTGTTTGGTAGCCCCTGCCTGCCGCCCCCAGCTCTGCACCTGCCCCTCCCCATCCCTGACCAGGGGCTCCTGGTCTGCAGGGCTGCCCCTCCCCATGGTGCTCTCTGGAGGTGGGCTGGAGGCAGACCAAAGCTCCCAGAGGCAGACAGGGCAGGAGGGGCTGGGAAATGCCAGGGGCGCCCTCCACCAGCTCAGGGGCTTCCCTCACCCCCACTTCTCTACAGGTGACCCCCTCCCCAGCTGGGGAGGGGCATGGCCAAAGTTCCCGAACTTTCCACAGCAGCGTCCTGACTCCCCTAGTTCCGAGTGCGGCTGTCTCAGGCAGACCAAAGCTCCCAGAGGCAGACAGGGCAGGAGGGGCTGGGAAATGCCAGGGGCGCCCTCCACCAGCTCAGGGGCTTCCCTCACCCCCACTTCTCTACAGGTGACCCCCTCCCCAGCTGGGGAGGGGCATGGCCAAAGTTCCCGAACTTTCCACAGCAGCGTCCTGACTCCCCTAGTTCCGAGTGCGGCTGTCTCAGGCCCGGCGGTCGCCTCCTGTCCTGCCCTCGCGCCAGCCCTTGCGCCCGCAGGCCGGGTGCCCACCCGTGGCCCTCACCTGCCTCCATGGCCAGAGCCCGCGGCCGGAACGCCCGGGGCTGCGCTGCTCCCGGCTCCCGCCGCCGCCCCCCCCCGTCAGCGCGCTGGCGCCACCAGCTCAGGTTTCCTGGTGGCGGCAGCACTGGCCGTTAATAATTGACCGCCTTGTTTGCCGACGCTGTGTCAACACGTCGTTCCCTCGCGCCCTGGCGCTCCGGCCCAGCCCACGTCCTGGGCTGTCTGGGCCGTCCCCCGCTGCGAACCCCGACGTGACCGAGGTGGAAGGGCCTGGGGCCAAGGATGCAGGTGCAGCACCCACGGGCAGGGACAGTCAGGGGAGACAGACCAGGACTGAGGGGCGGTAGTGACCAGATCTCCCTGTAGCTTTTCACATGCAGTCTCTTGAGTTTGAAACCCTAGGTCCTGAAGCAGGTCCGACCCAGTCACTTGGCAGTGCTGGATGGGCCAGGGCATGGTGCCAGACAGTCCACCCAGGCACAGCTGGCCCCAGCCGGTCAGGGGTCCCTGGGGAACAAGAATGAAGAAGGATGAGGGAGAAGCCCAGGAGGTGTGGGCAGCCCTGGGACTGTGCACCTTGGGGTTCTGGCCACGCTGCTTAGGGCTGGTGGCTTTTTGTTCGTTTTGAGATTTTTGCTATAGGGTGTGTGCACTCAGGGAAAGATAGAGACAGAAAGTGAGACAGCTCTCAGGAGGGATGTTTACGCCGCAGTCCTTTCTCCTCCATCCTCCTCTCTGGATCCTGGGCACCCATGCTCACACGCCCTGCATGTTTCAAGCTGCCAGGTCTGGAGCTTGAACGGCAGCCAGCTGTGTGGGAGTCCAGAGCCTTAATCACTATGCCACCTGTTGGCCCCATAGGGCTGGAGTTTTACACTCAGGGCTAGACAAGGAATGAAGACAGACCTGTGAAGCAGAAAGTTGGCGTGGAGAAGGGCTGTCAGGTGGCGTGGTGGTTAAGGGTGCCAGACTCCCACATGGCCGACTGCAGTTTGAATCCCAGACCTGGTGGTTTGCTTTCTCACTTTCCCGCTCTCTGTGTCCCTCTCTGGTCAAGTTAAAATAAGTAAATGAATAAAGTTAAATGAAATAATTCTAAAAAGAAGAAAGTTGGGGTGGAGAGAGATGCATGGAAGACAAGGCCTGCCCACGGCTCATGGAAGTGACAGGGTCTGAGCCAGCTTCGGTTCTGGGTGAAGAACCAAAACCTCCCTGGGAGGGGCCTGCAGGTGGCATAGTGATTAAGCCGCTGGACTCACGTGAGCTAGTGGCTTGAAACTTAGCTGGGCGTGTGTGCGTGCTTGCTCAAAATCCTGAGGGGAGAATGGAGGAGAAGGGATGGCGGTGTGGCCAGCCCCCTGGGGGTTGACTTCTCATTTTGTCTCTATCTCTGTCTCACCGACAAGCACATGTGCCCTATAGCAAAAAAAAAAAAAAAAACCTCTCTCAAAAACAAAATAAAACCTCCCTGAAAGTTGTAACTATAGGTCTATTTCTCACTTGAGTATGGGGTTCAAATTCAGCCTCTCCTCTGGTCCAGACACCACCCGCTAAAAGTTGGTGTAGTGGTTAAGGTGCTGGACTCCCACATGGCCAACTGCGGCTGCGTCCTGGAGCGGGCAGCTTGCTTCCTCACTTTGTCTCTCTCGGGTGAGCACACACGTCCTGTGACAAATTAAAGAATGATAATAATAATAAATAAAGTGAAATTTTATTTGACTTTATTTCAATTTGACCAGGGTGAGAGAGAGAGAGTGAGAAAGCAAGCTGCCATGGAACCAGCAGTTAGCATAATGGCTATGTTGCTGAACTCCCATGTAGCTGACTGCGGTTCGAGTTCTGGACCCGATGGCTTGAAACTCACTCCAGGCGCGTGTGCGTGTGTGCCCAAGATTCCGAGAAGAGAATGGAGGAGAAGGGATTATGGCATGGCCATCCTCCCCTGGGGAGGGTGATTTCTCGCTTTCTATCTCTATCTCTTTCTGTCTTTCTGGTGAGCACACGTGCCCTGTAGCAAAAAAATTTAAAAAAAAAAGAAAGAAAGAAAGAAAGCTGCCAGGTCCGGGACTCGAACCATGGTCGGCCATGTGGGAGTCCAGCACCCTTAACCACCATGCCACCTGCTGGCCTCAATAATTTTTATTTTTTTTAAGAATTATTTTAGGGACCAGCAGATGGCATAATGGTTACCTTGCTGGACTCCTACATAATCAATCGTGTTTCGAATCCCAGACCTGGCAGTTTAAAACACACTGAGTGTATGTGTGGGCATGCCTAAAATCCCGAGAGGAGAGTGGAGAAGGGATTGCAGTGTGACCATCTCCCCTCGGGGGGGATTTCTCATTTTCTGTCTCTGTGTCTCCCTCTGTCTCTCTGGTGAGCACAGACAACCTGTAACAAAAAACTCTTTCAAAAAAAAATAAAATAAAAAGAATTATTTTAGGGGCTGGCAGGTAGTGTGGTGGTTAGGGTGCTTGACTCTCACATGGTTGACCATGATTCAAATCCCAGGCGTGGTGGCTTGCATTCTTGCTTTCCCTTTCTCTCTGGTCAAATTAAAATTAATTAATTAATTAATTAGTTTATTCTTTTTAAAAAGGTTTCATTCATCTTAATTTTATTCATCATCATTATTATTTTTTATTTGACCAGAGAGAGACAGAGAAAGGGAATGTGAGATAGCAAGCCACCAGGTCCAGGACTCGAACCATAGTTGGCCATGTGAGAGTACAACATCTTAACTACCATGCCACCTGCCGGGCCCTAAAATAATTCTTTTTTAAAAAATGATGTTGAAGTAGTGGCTTTGGGGAGAAGGTCTGAGATTTACCCAAAGCAAACATAACACTTGTTAGCAGTAGTGGCAGGTGCAGGCATTGGGAGAATTTATAGACTCAGAGTAAGCAAAGAAAGGATTTCCTGTCTTTCCAGCGGAGGAAGCGGGCCAGGTATAGAGCTGTGTTTGGTCCTGAAGAGCCATGTCCTCCCACTGGCTGGCATGGTCCACAGTCCTAGACCAGGCGGCTTGCTTTCTTGCTCCCCGCACCCCAGTCAAATTGAAGAATGATAATTAAAGTTAAATAAATAATTATTTTAAAATTCTTTAGTTTTATTTATTACTATTACTATTTTATTTGACCAGAGAAACAGAGAGAGTCGGAGGAAGCCAAAAAGCCAGCTGCCTGGTCCGGGACTGCGCACTGTGCTTGGCCATGTGGGAGTCCAGGGCATTAACCACCACTCCACCTGCTGGCCCCCATAAAATAATTCTTTATAAAAAGATTATATTTTAATAACAAAAACACAGATAAAGGGTGAGAGGATTACAGTCAGGCAGCCAAGGTGGTCCTGAGACAGGGCACCTGCTGGTCCTTGGCAATGCCAAGCTCTCTGGTTATCACCCACGGGTACTGTCTAGCTGCCGTGGTGTGCCGTATGTCGTTTGTTATTAGCTCTGGTGCCAGCTGATAATGAGCGTATCGGTCTTTTAGAGACATTTGCTATAGGGCACATGTGCTTACCAGGGAGAGTCAGAGACAGAGAAAGTGAGAAAACACCCCCAGGGGATGGCCATGCCGCAAACACTTCTCCTAGGATTTTGGGCACACACATGTGTACACACATACCTGGCATGTTTTTCAAGCCACCAGGTTCAGGATTAGAATCACCCAGTCGGCCACGTGGGATCTAGTTACCTTAACCACCACGCCACCGGCTGGCCCAGGTATAGCAATCTTTATGTCTGAGGACAGAAACTTAGAAAACCAAGAGTCAGCCCTCTGCAATGAGGGAGAAAAGAAGAGAAATGCCTGAAGCACCTGGGAGGCACTGAACGTGCCCTTTCACTGCTCCATGGCGTATAACCCCTATTCAAGGTGACAAGATTCCCAGGGAGGGAAAATGCCCCTAAAGATGAGCTCACAATCCCTCCTGTGGCAAAACGCACAGGGAAACCAGCCACCATGAGCCACGGTCTGCAGATGAAGCAGATTCGGCCCTGGGCCAGTCAGGACTCAGGTAGAAAAGCAGAAACCACTCAGAATACTTGAAATCCAGGGAATTAGCACAGGGAGCTGGCGTTAGAGTGACAGGAGAGGCAGGAGCTGACCAGAGAAGAGGAAACCAGCCCAGTGCTCGGCATGAGGAAGATGGAGTGCCTGAGTGACCACCAGGGCAAGAAGGTGGGAGTGCCCCACCCCACCTGCAGGCAACCGAGGGTGTAGAGAATCTAAAGGCAATAACAGTTACAGGACGGGACCAGCGGTTAATGTAATGGCTATGTTGCTGGATTCCCACATAGTCGACCGTGATTTGCATCCCGGACCCGGTGGCTTAAAACTCATGCCAGGCGCGTGTGTGTGCCTGCCCAAGATCCTGAGAGGAGAATGGAGGAGAAGGGATTGCGGCGTGGCCATCCCCCCTGGGGGGTGATTTCTCGCTTTCTGTCTCTCTGTCTGTCTCTGTCTGGTGAGCGCATGCGCCCTAAAGCAAAAACCTCTCCAAAAATAAATAAATAAATAAATAACAGTTACAGGACCAGCAGTTAGTGTAATGGCTATGTCGCTGGACTCCCATGTAGTTGACCGCAGTTCCAGTCCTAGACCCAGTGGCTCAAACTCACACCCGGCGCGTGTGTGTGCGTGCCCAAGATCCTGAGAGAAGAATGGAGGAGAAGGGATTGCGGCATGGTCATCCCCCATGAGGGGTGATTTCTTGTTTTCTGTTTCTCTGTCTCTCTGTGTCTTTCTGGCGAGTGCATGTGCCCTATAGCAAAAACCTCTCCAAAAAAACAAAATTTTTTTAAAGCCTTGGCTTGGGGCCAGCAGGTAACATGGGTTACATCACTGGATTCCCACATGGTCAATGACTGTTGGAGTCCCAGACTTCGTGGCTTGAAGTTTACGCCAGGCACGTGCATGCCCAAAAATCTCGGGAGGAGAATGGAGGAGGAGGGGTAGTGGTACGACCATCCCACTCAGGGAAACTTTCTCATTCCCTGTCACTGTCTCTCCCTCTCTCTGTCTCTCTCCAGAGAGTGCATGTGCCTTATGACAAAAACCTAAATAAAGAAGTAAATACACGCACACACGCCCTGCCTGGTGTCGGTGAAAGCAGAAGTCGGACATGACGTGAATTCACCCCATCGCGGACCCTGCGCAGCACCTTCCTGGAGTGACCTCGTTCTCCATCTCCGTCTCACTAGCTGACGCTCGGACACGGGTTTGGGTTTCCTGGAAACTCTAGCTAAGACAAACCTTTCAGGCAAGCACCAGCACGGGGCAGGGTGCAGTCCCGGCCTCCTGCCCCTGCCTCTTGGATGTTAACCTGGGACGTTGGCAGGCCTTGTCTTCATAAGTAGCCCTGATCCGCTTTTCTGTCTCACACCCAAAAACACCAGACCCTTGCCCACACTGTTTCCCTCGGGGCGAGGGCCAGAGGAGCTGCCAGGTGATTACAGTTTTGTTTGTGTGGATCCATTTTCTGCAACGATTGTGTTACTTCTGCATTCGGGAGGCAGAAATGAGTTGGCAACTGGCCCACCCTCAAGGCTCACAGTGCCTCAAGGCTCACAGTGCTGGCTAGTGCTCAGTTACAGATGCAGTTTGGAGGCTGGCAGTTGGTGTGGTGGTTAAGGGCACTGGACTCCCACATGGTCGACTGCGGTTTGAGTCCCAGACCTGGCAACTTGCATTTTCACTTTCTTTCTCTCTCTCACTCTGTCCCTCTCTGGTCAAATTTAAATAAATAAATAAATAAATAAAGTTAAATAAAATAATTCTTAAAAAAAAAAAAAGATGCAATTTGGGGCCAAGAGGTGGCATGGTGGGGTAAGGTGTTGTATTCCCACATGATTGACTATGGTTCAATTCCACATCTGGTAGCTGGAAAACCATACCAGGCATGTGTGCATGCATGCCCAAAATCTCAAGAGGAGAATGGAGAAGAGATTGTGGCATGGCCATCTCCCTGGGGAATGGCTTCAGGGGTGCTTTCTCACTAGCCTCTCTCTGTCTCTGTCTCTGTGGTGCACATCCACCCTTTCGCAAAAATCTAATTTTTTTTTTTTTTAATTTTAAAAAGATACAATTAGAGGTCAGTGGCATGGTGGTTAAAGGAGCTCAATCCTACATGATTGACCACATGGTTTGAACCCTGGCCCTGGCAGCTTGAGGGGCACACTGCGCAAGTGTGCTTGTGTGCCCCAAATCCTAGCGGGATGGCAGAGTGGGGCAGGGACTGCGGGTAACTAGGCCCCGTCAGGGAGTGCTTTCTCTCTGTCTCTGGGGAGCACATGAGATCTCTGACCATAAAAAGGAATTGAGATGAGCTGGCATTCTTTTCCTTTCCATTTTTTTAGGTTTTTGCCGCGGGGCACGTGCGCTCACTGGGAGAAGAGAAAGAGAAAGTGAGAAATCACACCCCAGGGGGATGGCCTCATCGCAATCCGTTCTCCTCCATTCTCCTCTCAAGATTTTAGGTACGCACACACACGCCCAGTGTGATTTTCTCTTTTCCTTTCTTTCTTTCTTTTTTAAAATTATTTTGTTTTATTCATTCACTCATTTATTTAATTTGACCAGAGAGACACACAGAGGGAAAGTGAGAAAGCAAGCCACTAGGTCTAGGACTGGAACCATGGTCAGCCCAGCGGGAGAGTCCAGCATCTGAACCACCATGCCACCTGCTGGCCCCTGAGCTGACATTTGTGTGGGGGTGGGGGAGTGGTCAGGCTGGCTAAGGCAAGAAGGAGGAAGGAGGCCTGTGCATCTGCTCCCTGTGCCCACGTGCAATGGAGGGGCTGGGGGACAGAGGAGACAAGAGAAGCCACGGGGCAGGCACTGTCACTCTTCCAAGTACTGCCTCACCTGCTCCTAAGAAGCCCAAGCACAGGGCTCTAGCGTCGACCCCGGCCTCTCAGCAACACGGTTATGGTGCATGGAGAGTTCAACTAACGGCAGCTACAGCGCTGCCCTCATGGGCTCTCGCCCCAGGACACACACCCAGCAGGTGGGTGGGGAAGCAGCTGCTGAACGGTGGGGGGACCCTGCAGAGGGGCCAGGCCACCAGCAACATAGAAGTCACCTGTCCCAGGTAGGGTGGGCCGAGGGCAATGAGAAGGACACTAGGAACCAGCCCAGGGCGTGTCTGGGGTGGGAGGCACCCTAGCCTGGGCCTGGCAGGGCCTGAGGAGTGAACTAGGCTGAGGCAGGAGCTGCTGCCGGAGCCTCGCTGGTCCTGCTCTCCTCCCACCTCTGCACATCCCAGCATGCCTTGCCCAGGGCCAGTCTGTGGAAGTGTCCAGTGAAGAGCAGAACAAGCCAGGAGTTCCCTGCTTCACGCATGCTTTGCCAAGGTCACGCTTCCTCATGAAACAGAGAGAGGCTGCAGCCAGCTGGAGACTTGGGGCTGGACCTCTGCTGGGGCTGGGGAGGTCTGGGTGGTACTGCTTGGCCCAAAAGCCTGAGCCACGTGGCCCAGGACTGGATGGGTCTGAGCCCGGCTGTCATTCAGAACCTGGCTCAGGACCCAGCCTTGCCCCTTCTCTGGATAGGGGTGACTCTGGCTGGCCCACCCACCCTTCAGGAGCCCTGTCTGTCCGCGTCCTCAGGGCTCAGAAAGCCCAAGGCCCCCTCCACATACACTGCCTGGGGGACACCTGCAGCCTGACTTCCAGAAAGGGGTCAGGGCTCCAAGGTGAGCACCTGAGGGTCCTCTGGCTCCTGTCTCTCCGGGTGGGCTAGAATCCCCGAGCTAGAACTGCGCTCTCCAGCCCTGGGAAGTGGCCCTGGATGTAGGAAAGGGTGGGAGGCACGGGGTGGGGGGTGTAAGGGGGCGTCACTGAAGACTCTGAGGGCTGGTGGGAGTGTGGGGGTGGGCGACATGCTGGGGCCCAGCCTGGAGGGCGGGCTGGGGTGGGGGCTCAGCAAGGCAGGGCTAAGGCAGGGCTAAGACAGCGCCCTGGAGGGACGTGGCCAACGGTGGAGGCAGAGGACCGTGCGGAGCCCGAGGCGCCGAGCGGCCCCAGGGCCCAGGAGCCTCCCATGGTTGACTGTGGGCCCAGCGCCCCGGCGCTGCCTCTCGCCCCCACTTCCCATCCCCGCTTCGGCCTCGGGGTCACTCCCGTCAAGGGCTTCTGCTTGTCAAGACGCCGCAGCGACAGTCCTGCTTGGCGCCCAGGCCGGCGGGTGGGCCCGGCCCACGCATGCGCGGCGCGCTCGGCCGCCCGTGGACTACAACTCCCGTCGTGCCCCGCGCTCGCGGCTCCCGGAAGTGGTCCTTCAGCTCACTCCGACCCCTGCGTGGGGCGGCGCGCCGGCTGGTCTGGGGAAGGGGCGGGAGCGAGGGCCAGATGTGGGGAAGCGGAGCCGGAGATGGCTTCGGCTGGAGGCGGCGACTGCGAGGGCGCTGCGCCCGAGGCCGACCGTCCCCACCAGCGGCCCTTCCTGATCGGGGTGAGCGGCGGCACTGCCAGCGGGAAGGTAAGGGCCCGCGGGCCGCACTCGCCTGTCACCTGCGCCTCCGGGTGGCCCGCTGGCCGCGGTTCGCAGAGGAGACTGGGTGGGTTCTGGCCAGCCTCGGCCGCCCGGGCGGGGGAGCAGGGTGGCGGCCAGGGGTGAAGGGGCGTCTGCCTTCAGGGCGCCCCCAGCCTCCCCGCGTACCTCGTCCCTCGCGCTCCCAGGCAGGGCCGCCCCGGCGGGCGCGAGGTCTGGAGAGGTCGGCTCCCTGCTGAGCGCCCAGGAAAGGCTGCGCCGGCAGGATGAGGCTCCAGGCGGGAACTGGCTGTCTCCCCAGTCCACTGTGTGCGAGAAGATCATGGAGCTGCTGGGGCAGAACGAGGTGGACCAGCGGCAGCGCAAGCTCGTCATCCTGAGCCAGGACAGGTTCTATAAGGTCATGACGGCAGAGCAGAAGGCCAAGGCCCTGAAGGGACAGTACAATTTCGACCACCCAGGTAGATCTGGAGAGCTGGGCAGTGCGCACACCACTGCCCACCGTGGCCCTTCGCTGGGCCACCTGCCTGGGGCAAAGTCCTTGCAGAGGCCCGCTGTGGGAAGAGGGGGATAAGCTAGAGTTGGTGACTCAAGCGTCCAGGCCTGGGCCAGGTAAACGGGCGTGAGGCAGGGAGATACTAGCCCCCTCTAGTAGATTTCACCCTGGCTGGCTGTCATGGGGACAGGGGGGGAAGAAGCTGGACAGTCCAGCTCTGGGCACTCCCATTCTGTGGGCTACAGGGCTGTGCACGTCCTGTCGGTGCCAAACATAAACAAGGGCAGCCCCGAGTCCAAGTGTGCTGCAGGTCCTGGAGTCCCCACCTGTGGCCCCAGGCGGAGCTGCCCTCCCCTCTGCCACACGAGGGCAGCTGGGTCGTCTCGCCTTTTGCTTCATCTCTGCAGATGCTTTTGATAATGATTTGATGCACAGGACTCTGAAAAACATTGTGGAGGGCAAGACTGTCGAGGTCCCAACCTATGACTTTGTGACCCACTCAAGGTGAGCAGGTGCTTCCTGGGAGGGCTGGTTAGGTCCGTCCCCACCCCGGCTTGCACAGACTGCCCGGCAAGGCCCTGCCCCTTTGCCGTGAGCTGCCCCCTCCATGAGTCTGCCCCAGGACCAAAGGTGACTGCGCATGGCCCAAAGGCCCTATGTCCCCAGCAGGGCCCCCTTCTTCATCTCTCCTCGCAGGTTACCGGAGACCACAGTGGTCTACCCTGCGGACGTGGTTCTGTTTGAGGGCATCCTAGTGTTCTACAGCCAGGAGATCCGGGACATGTTCCACCTGCGCCTCTTCGTGGACACAGACTCCGACGTCAGGCTCTCTCGGCGAGGTGAGGTGGTGGTGGGTGTGTCTGCCTGCTGAGGCTGGCTGTGAGTCCCAAGATCTGGCCGGGCACTCTGCCCCTGTCGCTGCAGTTCTCCGGGACGTGCACCGAGGGCGGGACCTCGAGCAGATTCTGAGCCAGTACACCACCTTTGTCAAGCCAGCCTTCGAGGAGTTCTGCCTGCCGGTACCAACCTTTCACTTCTTTGGAAATCCCATCTCTCTCTCTCTTTTTAAATTTTGTCAGAGGTTGTGTGTTCGAGAGAGACAGGGAGAGGAGAGAGCACACACCAATGGGGGTCGGTCAGCCACATTCCCTTCTCCATTCCCTCACCATGTCGGGGTTTGGGCAGGCATGCAGACAAGCCCAGTTGTTTTTCGAGCCACTGGGGCCAGGATTTGAGCCACATGGTTGACTGTGGGTTCTGGCCACCTTAGCCACCAGGCCACATGGTTGGCTGCTTCTCCCTTTTCAGAAGGACCCATGGTGCCCAGTGCTATGAAGGCTAAATCTGGGATGAAAGTGATCTGGTCAGCAGAAAATTTAACGTTTATACCCAAGTAGCTGGAGACTCGTTCTCATCTCTGGAAACAAGGTCCTGCCTCTGCCAGGAAAGCCCTTGTCTCCTCCACAGCCAGTGGCCTGCTTCCTCCGTGCCTCATATTTTTACCCAAATGGCACCTGTGTTCACACGCACCCTCTGCCTGCTTACCTTTTCCAGTTTGCTCATCATCTGGGGAACACCCAGTGCCTTACTAACCCCCTCAGAGCAGGAAGCCACACGGACGTAGGCTGTTTGGTCAGTTCTTGGCCGGACACCAGGCCTGGCCCACAGGTGGCACTGTAACTTCCCACCGCCAGCCTGGCCGCGAGGGCCTAGCTGGCCTGTGGACAGCCTTCTGTCTCTTCTTGCGTCTCGTATTCCTCATTTGGTGACACCTGCTTCTATTCAAACTAGAGCGCTTGGAAGAGGAACTTAAAAGCATTTTGTCTCTTAGAGGTAAAAACATAGCCAGGCACTGGAACCAGGGTTCCTGCTGTAATTACGTAGGATAAATGCGTTCTGTCTGCTGCTGGAAACGAAAGCTTTCTCCCCCAGTTGTCAGAGGGCGTGTATTTTCAAGCCACTGAGGCCTGAATTCTGTGGTTGGCCTTGTGGGATCTGGCTCTACAGGGCTGGCCCAAGAAAACCTTTGTGTGTGTGCTTTTGTTTGTTTTGTAATTTGCCAGAGGGCGTGTGAGGGAAATCGAGAAAGTACCCCGTCCCCGGGGAATGGTCACTCCGCAATCCCTTTTCCATCTCCCTCCTTTCGAGATTTTGGGCATGCATGCATAAGCGCCAGGCGTGTTTCTCAAGCTGCTGAGTCTAACACATAAACCGCCTGGTGGGATCCAGCTGCATTAACCACCAGGCCATGGGCTGGCCTGAAAACTTTCTTTTTCACATGCATGTTCTCTGACATTTCTGGAAAGTGATTTGAGAAGTAAGGCGTTACTGCCTCTGTGACAGACATTTGGCAGGGTGTATGGTTTGCAGTGACACTCGGGACATGAGCTCTGACCCCGTTGAGGAAGTTGTTGCCCGCCACGCCATGAACCTGAGCCCCGTCTCCTCACCCTCTGTGTTGGGCCGCCTGTTTAGTCCTGCTCACTGACCCACGAGCACCTGCAGAGGTGGCCCTTCCTCTCCCTCCCCTGCTGCAGCCCAGGCCCTTGTCAACTTGTTCCTGGATTTCTGTAGCTTCTGGGCTCCCCTCTCCTGGCTGCTTGAGCCCAGTCTGCCCTCATCGGGGCTCAAACCCACACGGAAACCAACCCTGGCTTTCTTGTGCCCTTGTCCCTCATGGGCTGGCCCCACTCTGCAGACAGCTGCCTCTTCAGCTCATCTCTGGTACCATGTCTCCCTGGCCCAAACACAGGCCAGCAGCTCCAGATGGTCCACAGGTCTGTCCCTGGGCTCAGCACCCCCTCCTTCCCTTGGCCCCGTCTGCCAGGTGTGCCCAGCAGCCCTCCCCGGGCCTGCCCGCTGGCCTCTGGCTGGGCCTATCCCCAGTGGCCTGGATTTCTGGGTGCAGCTCTCCCTACCTTGCTGAGACAGGTGTGGACAGGGAGTAAGGATCATTTAGCATCAGAACGATGAACAGAGGACGTGGGCAGGCGGGCGAGCAGGTGGAGGTGGCCAGGGCACATGCAGTCATGAAGGGACCGCCTCGTGTGTCTCGTCCCGTGTGCTTCTCTGGGATTTCGCAGGAAGGCTGTAATCCCAGGGAACCGGCGCTGGGTGTGGGGATCAGTTGCACTTACTTTGGCCCAGTGAGTTGTGAGCATAGAGCTGTCCCGAGGAGCTATTCCTGCAGAGGACACGATTACAAGGGCTTGGGTGGCGCCAGGGGGTGACAGTTCCTGGGGGCTACTTCAGCCCCATCTTCCAGGATCACTGTTTCTCCTCATGGCCCAAGGGCATGGGCCTCCCCGAGCACCGTAGGACTCGCCCCCGCTGTAGCACCTAGTCCCGAGCACCTTCAAGAGGCGCTGGGAGGACTCCTCACAAGCCCCCTTTGTGCTTGCAGACGAAGAAGTACGCGGACGTGATCATCCCCCGAGGGGTCGACAACATGGGTGAGCAGGGCCTGCTGGGCTGCCCGCCTCCTGCCCCTCCCAGAGCCCCTCAGCAGGGTGGGCCGTGCCTGCCGGGAGGTGGTCAGCCAGAGCGCCCAAGCGCCTCGCGAGGCTGCTGTATAGCCGGGGCCTGGGTCACAGCAGACCTAGAAGGGCACGCCGAGAACTGCTCGACGGCTCATGCAGTTGGTAACGGCATCAGGCCGGCCCTTGGTTCACAGAACCCTCGCAGGAGCGCACCTGGGAAGCTTAGGGCAACACCAGGCAGGTGCAGGGGCGGGGGCACAGGGTGGGGGAGCACAGTGCAGCATGGCCGGGACTGGGTGGGTGACCCGCCCACCCCGTGTCTGCCGCAGTGGCCATCAACCTCATAGTGCAGCACATCCAGGACATCCTGAACGGTGACATCTGCAAGTGGCACCGAGGAGGGGCCAACGGACGGAGCTACAAGAGGGCCTTCTCTGAGCCAGGAGACCACCCCGGCGTGCTGGCCTCTGGCAAACGGTCGCACCTGGAGTCCAGCAGCAGGCCCCACTGAGGAGCCGGCGTGCGCTGCTCCCGAGTCCCGGGGGGTCCCCGACAGATGCGTATCCTGGGGCCGGGCCTGCAGCTTCCCACCTGCCCCTTGACATGCAGCCTCCACCCCCTGTGCGTGTTCCGGGCTGGGAGTAGGTCAGGGCAAGGCCTTCCTCGCTTTTAAGTGGAAAAGCAACCTGACAGCCTGGAGCCAGGGCCTTCTGGCTGTTTCCATCGCTGCCTCCTGTTTAAGGAGGCCGAAGACGCGCTGAGGCCCCTGAGAAATGTGAGTGTGGGGGAAGCCAGAAGGACGCAAGCCCACACTTCCAGGGAAATGACGGAGCCGGCCTGGCCCCCGCAACAGGGCCGGTGTTTGAGTCCGCCGTGAGAGGTTCGCCCGGCAGCGTGATGCGCTTCTCACGAGTCACCTAGACGTAACGGACTGCACACCCTCGTGTCATGTGTCGTTCTCATTCTGTTCCGTGACACAAGGCTGGCAGTGACCTGGAAACTTAATTTCCTGACCCCTCCGAGTTGTGATCCAGGGTGGGAAACGCGGGCGTGGGAGCCCCAGGGAGCAGTTCCTCCGGCTGGCCTGTGCCTGGGAGGCAGAGAGGTTGGGCACCTAGGACCAGCACTTACTAACCAGCATCAACCCCTAAGGCAGCTGGCAGCCAGGTCCGCCCTGGCTCAGTGGGTCCACACAGCCCTGCCTGGGTCTGTGGCCACGGCCAGGCTATGCCACACGCTGCCTCCACCGAGGCCCATGCTGGCTCGTAGTGGACAGGCAGGTGTGGCCCTCGACACCAGCCACCTCCCTCGTGCCAGTCTAGAGTGCATGACCCCACAGATGGCTGTCCATGCTGTCCCTCCCCATGACAGCTGTGGCACCCTCTGCCATGGGCACACTAGCCTGCACGGGCACGAGAGCCTCCTCTGACCCCCGTGCAGCCCAGATGTGAGGCAGCTGGGCCCAGTCCCATGGCTGGGTTCTGGCAAGTTGGGAACAGTTTTGTCAAGGTACGCCCTTTGGGAAGGAGAATCAATAAACAGCATCAAATACGGGTGCTGACCTGGCCCTTTTTTAATGACACTGAAGGCAATTTCAGAACAAGGAGCTACAGACACGCCTTTGCTGCTGAAGCTGCCTCCGCACACCTCGGCAGAGGGCTCAGTGTGCGGCCCAGCCAGGAGGGACAGGGGCCTCGACATGGCACGGACCCCGCATCAGCCTCATGAGTGGCCTTTTGCTCACAGCTTGTCCAACGCCAATGTGTCCAGGGTGACTCCAGCGAGGCCTTGGTGAGGCAGGGCTGGGACCCGGGTGCTTGCGGGGAGGTGGGTGTGACACAGCCCGGCTGCCACGGGGGCCCAGGGCTCCTTGCCTCCCTCCGGCCCACCACGGCCACTACAGCACTCGATGGCTCAGTTCCTTGCTGGCCTTCGAGGCTGAAAGCAGGGAGGACTCAGGCACCACCTTGGCCAGTGGGCAGCCTCCGGGGCTCAGAGCCGGTGCTGGGCCGGCCCACTAGCTCGGGCGTCTGGCTCTGCTACTTCCGGATCAGGATGTCCCAGCTGTCTTTCCAGCGGAGGGCCTTGAGCTCGCCTGGTGAGAGCGCCCTGTGCCCATAGGTCAGGGGGCACAGCAGGGAGGACACGTGGCACGCCGAGGAGTACCAGGCCACGACCAGGGCTCTGAAGAGGCTCCTCTGGAGCTGGGACCTGCAGCGGCATGGCGGGCACACACGTGTGCAGAGGGTGCCCTCACCTCTGCCTTCTTGTCCCCGGGCCTGTCCACACCTGCGTTTCAGACTGGCCCTGCCCCTCCCGTTCCCTGCCACCCTTCTCACCAGCCTGTATGCACTCAGCGCGGCCTACCCTACTCCTCGGATCTCCACAGCCCGGGCCCTGCTGCAGCCCCAATGGCGGCCCATGTCACTGCACCCCGAGGCCCCCCTTTGCTCGGGCCCCGAGCGCACCGGTCTCAAAGCTTTCTTTGTTATCTGCACCACATGGGCTGCTGCTCCAGAAGTCCCCATCCCTGCCCTCGCTCCTGTCCCCTGAGTTCCTACAATGCCTCGTCTGCCCTTTTGTGAACTAACCCGTCCACGTGGCCCCACCCGGGGTCCCGGCACAGGCTGTACCTGCACAGGTGGTCGCCAACATGCTGCAGGACCATGGGGAGCAGGAGCAGCTGGAAGCTGAGTGCGGGCAGGTAGTGGTAGAGGAAGACCGTCTTCTCCATCAGGAAGAAGGGCAGGTAGTTGGCCGCCCAGCCCCCGGCACACAGCGCCCCGGCCAGCACCCAGCGCAGCCAGGCGTCTGCAGGGAAAGGGCGTGTGCAGGGAGAGGGCCGGCCGTCCAGGGCCCTGCTCCGACTGCAGCATGTGGTGGCCTCAGTGCTCCACGTGGCTTTCCTGCTCTCTCAGAAGAGACTGGGCCTGAAGGTTCTGGGGGTTTCCTCCTGGGCCCGATAGTCCTTTCCTCAGAAACCCCAGCCCCCGCCCCCAGGGCCAGACTTCCTCTTTGCATGTTTGCTCATTAAAAACAAAAATGCGGGGCGGAGGGGACTGGCCCCATACCCTGGTGGCTAAGGGAGCTGGAGCCCACAGTCAACTGCAGTTTGAGTCCTGGTCCCAACAGCTTGTGAAGCATGCTGGGTACACGAGTGTGCGTGCCAAAGGTCTTAGCAGGATGGAGAATGGAGACTGGCAAGCTCTCGCCCGCTGGGGGGACGCCTTCTCACAATTAGTGCATGTGCTCTCTGCTAGCTTAACTGGTTCTTCTTTTTAAGAGAAGAGCTTTTTTTTTAAGAGTTGTTTTATTTAACTTTATTTGTTTATTTTAATTTGATCAGAGAGAGAGAGGGAGAATGAGAGTGAGAAAGCAAGCCGCTAAGTCTGGGACTTAAATTGCGGTCGGCCATGTGGGAGTCCACCACGCTACGTGCCAGCCCCTAAATTGGTTTCTTTTCCTTTATGTGGAAGTCATAGCTGTGAGAGGAAAGCAGTCCTGGTCAAGCTGCAGTTCGTTTCTAAGTCTCCATCCTGGCAGGATTCTGGACACAAACACTCACTCCCGCCTAGCACGGTTTCCAAACTGAAGGTCCGCCACGCGGGACACAGCCAGCCCTATGCAGGTTTGCTGTGGGATCCTGTGGCCTCGGTTCACTGCACCCAGCAGACCTGATCCAACCTGGGCAACTCTGGTCACATGCTGGGATGTGGAGCAGGGCCTGAGACCGCCCGGGAGCAGTGGAGGGGCCATATTTGTCTGGCAGGCCAGGGGAGCAGGGGCAGTCAGAATGGACTCCTCTCTGGGACTGAGCAGAGTGGGAGAAGGCTGTGTCCCGCAGCCCTCGGCAAACCTGCCTGCCCTGGTGGTTTTCCTCTTTCTGTCTCAGTGTTGTTTTTGTTTTTAAAAAAACTTGCCAGAAAGCAGGCATGTTCGCTACAAACAGGAAAAGCGAGACAGAACTGCCTGTGGAGGGTGGCCAAGACGCAATTCCTTCTCTTCCAGTTTTCCCTCCTTTCAGGATCGTGGGCGCGCACGCACATGCACCTGGTGTTTCTCAAGCCACTGGCTCCGGGGCTCACCGCCGTCAGCCCCGTGGGGCCCGAGG